ATATGAACATAAAAATGTAGATATGTTCTTAGAAAAATATGTTAAAAATTAAAGTAATGTTTAAGAAATTTACAAAAAACTCTTTTATTCAAGGAATAGGTAGCATTCACATGTACACTGCAGAATGTCATTCCTAAGGTTGGGGTCAGGGAACCTGCCTATCTGGCAGGAGGCAGGTTAGAATATGGATTTTGAATGAGAAGCTAGGTATCAAGTCCTGGCTCCACCATTAACATGGGGAAGTTACTAAATCTGCCCTGCTTTGAGGTATCTTCATTTGTAAAATAAATGGTTATGTTAGGTCAGTGGTTTCCAAATATTGGCATGTGATAAATTTTTCATTAGTCTGTGGGAAAATGAGAAAAATAACAATGGACTTATTTATGAAATTAAATTTATTTATTTTATAAAACTGTTAAAATGGTTTACTTTTATAAACCCTAGGCATTCTCTCCTGTCCCCTTTGAGCATCCTCACGTAGCAAAATTCAAGTATGCTCTCTATAACAGAACCCTGAAGTTAAAATATTTGTGTATTTTTGTTGGTCCATAAATCCAAAGGTCTGGGAATCACTAGACTAAGTGATCATGAATGTCTTTTCTAGCTCCAGAATTCTAACCACTTCTTAAGTCACAAATAGTATTTAACCAACTCTAAAGTGGAAGGAAGAATAAAAGTAAAACTTTTACTCCTTTTTCTTCTTTTTAAACTCTACATTTCCCCAAACGTATCTTGTGACACACAAACCCCTGTTAAGATATTATAGATCTTCTATGGAAAAGAAGATTCTTAGTCAAATGAGTGTGAGAAACAAAAAGTTGTACTTTCTTTACTGAGAACGTGCAAACTGCTAACACTTACTGTGATTCCCCCTCATAAAGACTCCCCAAGTTATTGACAGGAATCAGCTACCTTTCCACCCTCACCCCAAACTCTACCCATTGTAGGACAAAGAGTGCCCCTATGCCTGGAGCACAGTTTGAAAAAGATGACTTCAGCTAAAAGATCCTCGATAGCTTTCCAATAAAGAAAAAACATAGTATTAAAAAACAAGACTTGCCATTTCTTTTATAGTTATTATAATTTGATGGTTTTTCAAAATTACCAACACTACAAATATTTTTAAAATAAACAACAAAAGTTTTGTGGCCATTTTTGCCAAGTATGTTTTTTTTTTCTTTACAATTAAAAATAAAGAAAAATTGTGCCAAGAGATTTGTGTCTAGTGATTGCAACACGATAATTAAAGCACTGGGATTTTGCAGAAGTTTGCAGTAACAAAGTGTGGTTATATCATCCCTATGCAATGAATAAAAAGTAAAATAAAAGCCATCTGTAGATATTAAGCCTAAGAAAAGCCCCAGACTCTTCTCAAATAATATGTCACTGTTAAATATTCCTTGAGTAGGTCCAATTAACTCTGAATGCTTGTGGCTCATAATTGATTTATTTAAATCCCAGTTTTATTGTGATCAAGGAGCAAAACTCTTGGTAGAAAAAGATCTCAGAGTGTTTGTTTTTTATTTTTCTTTAATTATTTGATCGGGGTTGAGAAAGTTTACTTAAGTCTTTTTTATTGCTGTTCACATCATCATGTGAAATATCAACTAGCCAACCGCTTCAGCCTTCACATACTGGATTCAAGTTTCACTTTACCCACCGAGGAAAGAACAGTTTTCACTTGGGACAAGATGATCCTGGAGCACACTTCCCAGAGAGAGGACCTAGGGATCATCTTTTGGATGTTCTGACACTAACAACCTTTTTTTCTGACTTTAGGCACACCAGGTTCTTGACAAGCCTGCAGCTCTGCATTACCTCTGATGTTTTCCATCATGACTGTATGGTAAATTCCAGCCTGTTTTTCATAATCCTGCTGACTACAGCAGTCTGCAACCATAAAAAGCCTTCACAGACCTAGAATTGGCTTATAGAAGTGCCTCTGCAGAGAAACAAAAGTACGTGCAACATTTATGTTCAGAGACAGCAGAGAGGCAAAAGCCTCTTGTTTTGGTTCTGATGGGCTCAAAGGGTTGTTTTTAGGGTCAAAATTTAGAAATTTTAATTTTCTTCTGATAACATTTGTAAACAAAATACCAACACTAAAATGAGAACAACTTAGCCAGGAAAAGGGGGAGTGTCCTGTCCAACAGATCAAGCCCTCTTCCAAACTCCACTGGAGGGACGTGTCTACACATTAGCACATGACCGGACTTTGGTCTGACCTCCCTAGGCTCCCTCAGCCTCCTAGTCAGGTATGTTTGAGGTTCACACCAAAGATTCAAGGTTTCAGAATTAGCTTCTTTTGAATCTTAAGCTAGTACTGATGCAGTCTCTGGGGAGGAGGCTAAAAACACCAAACAACTCTTTTTAACAGACTATAATATCCATTTACATAATATGATTGAATATACAAGTAGTATAGTTTGAAAGCATACAGTTCAAGCTCTCATGAACAACTGCTCAATGTAATAAGTTTGTTTTCATTTTTGCAATAAAGAGCTGTAATTGAAAAGTAAAGAACAGGAGGGGAAAGTAAAAGTTTAAGCGACCCCTTCACACATTTGAACTTTGACTCTCTGCAGAATAACTCTATTCCCCCCATATGGTAAAGCAGATCATATTCAAAATCAACATTTAAAATCGTCTATACCTTAATATTATTTTTAAAACATAAAACATCGGGCTACTTGCCTTTTGGCAATTTCTGTGCATTTCCCAGGGCTAGTGTAATGCTTCCACAGAGAAGTAGGCACCCCAAGCTGGAGAGCATGTTGCATTTGCCACCTCGCACGGGGAATGATGCTGGTGGGTGCCTCGCAGCCCTGGAGCTGCATTTAAGTGGACTGCCTCCCGGTGACAGAGGCGGGCGGCTGCACTTAGCTGTGCCGTGGGCTTACTCACAGGGGGCGGAGCCAAGATGACATCACACCCTTTCCCACACACACCAAAAAAAAAAAAAGCACAACAGCAAAAACATATCATCACATTTCTTTCTTTCTGCTAAGTTGTAACTGTGTCTCTTCCCTCTGAGATATAAAAATTGAAATTATGGCAGATCTGTATTTGTGAAAGAAGAAGTATTTAGGCAGTTTTGAAACGTTGGTAAACCATTTTAAAGAACCCAGAAATAATATATTAAAAACTATCAAAATGCTAAAAATATAAAATAAAACCTTATTAAGAAGGAAACTGTTTTTAATTATCTAGTAAACTAACCCAATTCTTTTCAATGGGTGTAAACTCATAAAAATTTATTTTGAGTCATTCTGTAGTTCCTGTATTACAAGAAACATTTAAGAGCAAGTCTATGGCTACAAAGTTATACGTTATGTACAATACGTATGTGTATACACATATATTCTACAGATGTAGATGTAGAGACATAGAGAGAGCACTATTACTATGTGAGCCTCAACTATGGACTGAGTTTTGTAATCGAGTCTACCTACTTTATTGTATTTTAATTTTCCCAGTGCCTCTGCAGGAGATATGGCATTGTCCCCATTTTGCCATTAAGAAAGACTGAGGAACAAAGGTTAAGTGTCCTGACAATGCTAGTATTTTCTACTGCTTAATAATGGGTGCCACTTACTAATGAATTGTCCTCGAGCAAACTTCATCTCTATATAATCAATATTGATGACATTTAAATGCTTGCTCCATGTTAGGCACTGATCGAATCAGTTTACACATGTTAAGACATTTATTCCTCAGAACGGTCTATGAGGCAGGCATTGTCATCATCCCCATTTTACAGATAAATAAACTGGGCACAGAGAGGTCAAGTGCAAGTCCAAGGTCACAGTGCTGGCGTTTTTAAGCAGGCCATTTCACTACAGTACTTCTGGTCTTAACTACTACATTTTAATTCTAAAATAAACATGACAGTACCAATTTCATAAATTTGCTAGCAGTTTTTTGAAAGTAGTTGCCATAGAGCCTGACATACAGGAAGCATTTTACTAAATGGCAGTCACTGGAAACAATAATAATGAAAATGATAAACCCCCAATGAAGTAGAACTATAATTCTAACCTGGGCATATTTACCTCTGAAGTCCACATGTGTAACCTTTCGCCTTACATCACTTTGGTCAAAATATATAGACACATGGGTGGAATGGGTGGGTGACTAAAGTACTTTAAACTTTGTTGGTATATTTCTACTGACTCTTTGAAAATCACTTACCTCTTTGGGGTGCTGTAGCTGAACCAAAAACAGTCAGAGAAAAATTAAGTAACACTGGTCAAATGAAATTCTAGTTAGAAAACTTACCAAAGAGAAAAAAAGAAAAATTGAAGAGACAGCCCCATCTTCCAAATAAAGTGAGAAGGCATCTTGTTAAAGTCATTTAGAGCTGGCTGGGTCTAAGCTCTCACCATAGGAATGCTCTGGCACTGACTACAGGAGGGACTGGGTTATTTAACAGGTCTTTTTCATCTCTGATTTTTTACTTGACTAAGCAGCTCCCTCAATCCGGGTTAGGACATTTATCCAGCTGGCACTGCTGGTTCTGCTCCTATATGTCATTGCCATCACGTTAAGCCAGTGAGGCCACTGTGTTAGTAGGAAATGACAGGTTTTCTGAGGGGAACAAACCCAGCAGAAATATTGTAAAGAAGGCTGGTTCTTCAAAACATTTATGAGGGGCTGGTGCAAGAGTTAGGAACTGACCTCTGCTTGGCCAGCAGGAATTCAGGAATTGGCCTCTGTGTGGCCAGCAGGCAAAGTCAAATCCACCTTAGCAATCATTATTTGCAGTTTTGCAACTGACTGGAGGCTAATTAAATGAAGCACAATCTCTAATTATTGTGTCAGGAAAAAAAAAAAAACTGTTGCATTATCTTAGCTAGTAGGACACTTGAGCATTCAGTGAAGACGTTGAAAGTATTAGGCTCTCCTCAGACTAGGGAGGAGTAATGCTACAGAAAAGAACTGTGCCTCTTTTACTACTGTGTCCAGTACCTAGAATATAAGAATGCAATAAGTACACGATGAGTAAGTGTCAAAGGAAACAGAATTCATCAATTCCCCCCAATAGCCTAAGGATCAGTTCTAGATTATGTCACAGAACACTTGAGTATGATCTAGAATGTACAGTTGTTGGGAGACAATTTTACAAGGGTAACTAATGTTTCTGTACATCCTATGAGCAGAGGCACTAACTCCCTGTGTTCCAGAACATCTTGTAAAGAATGTTTGTATGTAAAATATCCCCTTAGAAGATAGAAATTTGTGTTCTGTCCCATATAATAAAGGTAACATCTCCCTCTGGGGCAATGGGAATACATGATCACTTCCCATCATAAAAGATTTACGTTCTCTAAGCTTGTCATTCCTCTTCTGTAAAACAACCCATGGCGTGTGTACGTATCACCTGTACCTCTTTGTATTGTCCTGTGAGAATTTGGCCTCCTAGAACTAGTGCAAATGCTGATATTCAGGCTACTGCTATTGCTGTAATAAACTGTCCTTTCCTTTGTCTTTGACCCAGGTGTTTTGTGTCTCCTGCCAGCCTCTATGAACTGCGTGTTAGCTTGCACGTAGGGTAAAAATCTCAGATCCTTCACAGTTCTTGAAAACAGTATTGGCCCGTATTAAAAGATTTTATTAAAGCATGCTTTAGTATAGTGCATTTGGTGTAATACCTACACTGAAGTCTATTATAAGACTATTATAAGAATCAGCCCTGAAAACCCCTATTGTACACAGTAAGAGTGTTGCTTGACATTGCTTACTAAATCATGTAGTACCTCTTAAAAAATAACCCTGGAGGAAACCTCTGACTGCGGTGTCGAGTATGAAAAGTTGTGACTATTTTTCCAGAGTAACTGTATTTATTTTTTGATATTGTAACCAGGTTTCTCTTTCTGTGTTGACTGGTAGAAAATTAGAGCCAAATACATCCCCCACCCATGTTAAGTGTATAGGTCTTTGTGATGTGCATTTTTTGACATCATTCTTGGCTTTATTTTTTGTCCCCACCCTTATTTCTTGCTTATTTTACTTGGACTCTTAATTTATGTGATTTTGTAAGTTGTTTTAATTTGTTTCTGGAGCAAGGTGAGGTAAAACAAACAAACCCCACACACAGAAGTTGTGTCAAACACCATGTGTCAAAAGCCATAAAGTGGGAATCTGAGAACCTGTTCTCTTTCCTTTTCTATGCAACCGTAGACTCTGATAGAATTTTGGTACAGGGATTGTATGGCATCATTTTTTAAGAATACTTTCTCCTTGGGGAAGTCAGTGAAATCCATGAAACTAGAAGACATCTAGAACACTGCTCAAATAAGTGTCGTAGTTTTCAGTCATGCCATGTTTCTTTTTTTGAGACAGAGTCTCGCTCGGTCGCCCATGCTGGAGTGCATTGGCGCCATCTCGGCTCACTGCAAGCTCCACCTCCCGGGTTCACGCCATTCTGCTGCCTCAGCCTCCCAAGTAGCTGGGACTATAGGTGCCCACCACCACACCTGGCCAATTCATGTTTGATTTTTTAAGGGCTCAACATTAATTTCATTATTTCAAATGAGACTTCTATTAAAACTCATACATCTCTCAAATCTTGGAAGTCAACTCTGTGTAGTCATTTAACGTATTTGCCCATATTTTTAGTCTCTGTAAAGTATTATGCTAGGAGATTTGTAAAAGGCTTGTATGTATGCAATTAATATTTGAAGCTATGCTGTGGTTTTTCTAAGGGATGCTAATAAAAATAATCTGAATATGACTGACTTGAAATGGGAAACCTAGTGCTCCATGTTTTTATCCCAGATTTTATTTCTTTAATCACTTTCCTGAACTAGACCCGTGATCCAATTGGACAAGTGTCCTGCTCCAGTGGAGGTACATTTGGCCAGAGCAAATGTACACCACAATTCTTCTTATAGCACAGAGATGTACTGCTCCTTAAACACCTAAGTGATATTTGCAGGTCATTCTTCAATTTGTCTAAGGCATCTTGACCTCTAAATTTTTGGCTTCATAACCTTGAAGTAATTAGCAACTTGTACTTATAAAACAGTGTGAAGGATCTATTCATCTGGAAACAAGCTTCTTTAAGACCTAAGTTGTATATCTCTAAGCTGTCAAATTTGTCTCCCTTGTTTTGTCTACATTCTGCTTTCTTCATGGAGGTGCTGAGTACCTAGCTGAACTTGTGCAGGTGAAAGGAATATTTTCACTTAAGCTTCAAATAATGTAAGAATTGATGGAGTCAAGAGCTGAGTGAGAAACATGTTAGTAAACTAGAGAAGGAACTCTGAACATGAGGATATGCCAGAGGAGGATCCTGAAAGTTAGAGTACTGCATCAGGGAGTCTGAGAGCCTGGGGCATGCAAGTATGTAGCAGCATGTTGAATAAGTAGGTGGATGGTGGTCCTGGGAACATACCTAGGGCCATGCAAATTCAACTAATGTGCACATCTATGAGACGTGGGAGGAAACCTGAGGACCCAGAGAAAACCCACGCAGACATAGAAAGAATGTCAAACTTTACATAGTGGTACCAGTTATGAAACAATTTTATTCCAGGAACTGCTGTACATAATTTGTTGAGTTTTAACCTTTGTCTTGACACACGAGTTTACCCGGGAAATCCTCACCATAATCATGACAATAAACATACCCCTCACCTCAAAGAGAATTCTTGTGCCCCTTTTCAATCTCACCCTCTTCCCTCTCAGTGCCTACCACATGATGCCTCACAACCACTGATCTGCTTTCTAGTACAATGCATTACATTGCATGTTCTAGAATTTTACATACATGAAATCATGCAATATGTACTCTATTATTGACCAGCTTCTTTCACTGAGCATGGTTGTAATTAGATTCATTTATGGACATTTGGGCTCTTGCCAGTTTGGGCT